AGCACAGACTTACACTTGCAAAAACTTCTGTCATTTACTTGCTCAAGAGAAGTCCAGTGCATAAGGAAAAGTGTCAAAAAACCCACAAAAAACACAAGTGAGAGGAAGGTGATTATTTAGAAGAGGAAAATATTGTTGTAAACTTTGTATTCAACGAAGAAATAAATATTGCAAAAAGATCAGACTATCTCTTGACACTCCCATTAGGTACATTGATTGGATAATGAAAAAGTTACTAAAGGAAAAAGATTTATTCTTCCTGCCCTGTAAAGCAAGACTCAGACAAACTTTAAAAAACATATTGCCTGGAAAAATCTGTGGCACGTGGCATGACCCAGCAAAAACACACTTACTATACAGGTAAGGATATCACCTAAGTATAATGTGAAATACAGCAACCAAGAAATCCTTTCTGTAAGAGCCTCAACTAAACCACAACCTGTGTAAAATAACCAAATGGTGCACAAAACACTGACACATGCATTGCAGCAACATGGTTTATAAGAATCCTAAATCTTACAATAACTTGCAAAATAGTTTTTACAATTGCTTATTGGCACAATAAACAAGTGTTTAGCAAATAAATATGCAAAGCAGCCTTTAAAAGGGCAACAAGGAGGTCAGGCTCTTCTTTATATTTATCTTTTTTGTTGTTATTTTTAACTGCTTCCTTAAAATAGAAAGCCACAGGAAGACTGGATGAACTTACTGAAAGAGTTCCACCACAGGAATAAAAGCAGATGAGATTTTGTATATTATGGGCAATATTCGTAGACTAGTTAGGCAGCAAAACTGATTTCCTCCTCTAAGGCCGATAACTAAAATGAGTAAGGAACTAACAAACAGAAATCAGAAGCAAAAAAAGAAAAACTAAGCTTCAAATGAGAAAAAAAGCAATGTTCTTCGGGATCAAGGAAAACAAAGTGGTGGCAGTAGAACCCAGAGCTATAATCCACTCACATAAAACCAGTGAAAATCAGACAGAAGATGAAAATACTAGAGTTCAAGAGGCCACAGAGAACAGTAGCATCACAAGGGCAACACATTGTTTAATCACTGTGAAATTCCAGATGACAGCACTCAAGGTCAGAGAGGGAAGGAGGCATCAGTGCCTGAAAAAGAAAATGTGAAGAGCACAGGAAAAAAAAATCGTCAGACTCTTTTAGCAAGCAGCAACAAAAGCTTGAGTGAAAAAGGAAAACCAAAACCAAGTTATTCCAGGGTTTGCTGGAACAAAATTGTAATTTTATTCTAAATGATGTACTTTAATTATTAATATTATTCAATAGAGACTATTGCAGCTTATAACTGTGCTTATCCTGACATCTGCCATGATGTTTTATCAACTAAGACTGCAAGAGTTACAGAATGCTTCACCTCAAAATACACAAAATACTTCTCCAGATAGAATACTGAACTAACTAAGCAGATACTGCTGTTCAGTTAGCAATAAAGGATAGCTCTGCATATCACACAAAATCAGTTTTGCCATAGGAACATAGATTCAACCTCTTACAGGGTATTACAGACAGTCTTCCAGAAATTAAAACTCCAATTAAGAGCTTTGAAAAACTCAAATACAGAGAAAAGTATCAAGTTTAATGTAACAACATTGACTTCTGGATGAACTAATAAAAACAATATGGCTGTCTCAGATTTTAATTGACAGTCTAACGAGAGCAGGCTCAAGTTTTCTAACCATTCTCACCATGAAAACCAAAAAAAAATTCTTTCCTTTAGAGAAGAAAATAAAGTAAAAGTGTCTCCCTGAAAGCATCATTTGAAAATTTCTGAAGTGAGATGGAAGACAATTAGTATGACAAACTAATTTATCTTAAACACTGGCATAATATTTTCTTTAGTATAAAATTGTGGGTATCTCCAAGGTCCATGGCTGGAGCGAGTGACTGTTCAGTGTAACATTCAAGTAGCTCTGAATACTTGCAAGAGTAAGGTGAAGGTAAGCCAATCTTAACTCACAAGATGCTTGCTGTTACCGAAGCTAACAAAGCAATTATTTTACACTACAGGTAGTCAGCCACTGCCTTGCCTGCAAGTACACTTTCTCCTTTTTCAAGAAACAGTGAATTTTCTGGTCTTTCGCAAAACAGGACTGTAACTATGCAGTTATACTTCCCTAAAGCTGCATACCAACAGTTTTCAGCACACTAGGATTCATGCTGGGGTGTTTGTGCAGTGGCAGCGGTTATGATTGATGATATGCAAAGACCTAATCTGTTGCAAAGAGGATGTAACACAAACCACAAAGGAACTAGACACTTCAGCCTGTGTTTAGTACCACATACCGAGGCCCATACACTGGAGATCCTGAACATTTTCAGCCAGTCTTTTTATTCTGACAGATTTCACAACTTTCCCTTACAGAAATATTCTGTCCTTGAAAGATAACATATCTAGCAACAGCTACAACAAAGTATCTAAAAATCTCCGGTTGCACACTACGGCTGTCTTCCCCTGCCATCATTACAGATCTAAACACAAAATTATTAAAGCTTTCTTGAATCTCCTCACATCACTATTTATTCCACATGCTGTGAGAACTGAATGATTCACAGCATTTTCAAACATTTAACACTGAAACGCGGAGGATTATTATTACTTGAATTCACTGCTATTATTAGATACTTCTGAAAAAGATACACTTGTTTACACCACTCTCAGTTGGTCTTGTTAAAATATAAAACATGGTTAAAATGTATGGTTTGGGTTTTATGAAGGTGGAGAGAGCAGTAGCATTACATTTTTTTTTGTTTAATTGCTTATGTGATACTAAAAATATAAGAACTCATATTTCTAGGTATTTTAACAGGACTACAGTCATTTAGCATATTAATATAGTCTGCATGCCTATGCACTTGCATATGGGCATTTTAATCTATTAATTTTCGTTTATGAATTAGGAACACTCCTAGCCTCTACCTGAAATAAGAAAAGACTTAAAGCTCTCAGAATTGGGCCCGGTATTGTGATAAATAAGACAGTCACATAGAAAATACGATACCATTTTCTAAAGCATGCCATCCAATGAAGCTTCTTTTGACTGCATCTTGATCATAGTCATCAAACAAGACTCAAGTGGAATTTATTACACATTGCAGAACACACCAAGACTCAATAAGTTTAGTCTGCTACACAGTATAACACTTTTAAATAAATGTTCTACCTCAAAGGGTAGTTGGCTTCATATAGTACAACCACTACTTACTAAAAATTCTGAATAAATGCAGAGCCACATCCTTTTTCTTAAAATAATTGCTAGCTAGGAATTAATAGTCCATTTTTATCTTGTGAGAAAGAACAACTAGCACTCTTGAGCCATAATCTAATATATTTAGAATAGACAAAATAGTCATAGTAGGCTGATACACGAGCCTGGCTCCTCTCTCGAACACATAAGCAAACTTCCAGATTAACTTCTGGTAAAGACAACTTCCCTTATAAGTGCCAAATGGAAGCTTTAAAGAATATACAAGAAGTTTAATTTTGTTGATTTCTGTTCATAAAGGATAAGAGCTTCCAGTGCATGACATAATGACAAAAAAAAATTATAGCAGAAGTAATGCAACCACATTCTTAATATTTAAAATGTCTTGGAGAGCTACAGCATGTGTATGATGCAGTCCAAATGGATACTATCAAAGCAGTGTTTTAAATGCTTACCATTTCTGTTCACACCAAATACTTGCTTCTCCAGATAGCATATTTTCACAGACTCACAGGATAGCTAAGGCTGGACAGCACCTCTGGAGACTGCCTAGTCCAGTCCTTCAGTTCAGAGCAGGGTAAACAGAGGAGATTGCTAACACTCATGTCCAGTTGGTTTTTGAGTATCTCAGGGATGGAGATATACAAACTGCACAAGCTCCAAGCACAACCTTTTCCACTGTTTGACCATCCTTGCAAAATAGTTTTTTTATAGCATTTCAATGGAATTTTCTATATTTCAATTTGTAACCATTTCCCTTTAGTGACTGCCACTGAGAAGAGCCAGACTTCTTCCTTTCCTCCATGAGGTATTTATATACACTAGTAAGACTTGCCCCGAGCCTTTTCTTCTTGAGAAGCCTCATCTATCTTGGCCTCCCCTTGCACAACAGATGCTCCAGTTGCTCTAGTCATCTTTGTGGTCTTTTGCTGTACTCCTTCCAATATGTCCATGCTTTTCTGGTAATAGACAGACCAGACCTGGACACAGTACTCCAGCTGTGGCTTTACCAGAGCTGTCCTAAATCTATAATTGCCAAGCTTTGAATTTTACTTCATCTGAAATTCTTCATGCTCTCTCATATTTCAGTTGTTAGAGATTAAAAACAACACAACCATTTTTCAGCAGTTCAAGTGTTTAGAAAACTTTACATTCTAAAAACATACAAACCCAAATTTTATTCTAATCCTTTGAACCAAAACATAAACTAAGACAAACAAAACACACACTAAGAGTGGGCAAATGAGCTAGGTATCTACAGATCCTCTAAGAAGGATTTAACAATACCACTAAATCAGAATAATCAAATTCGCATTTCACTAATCTGGTCAATTATACCAGTTATTGTTTAAAGATATTTAATAAAATAAGAGAATGACATCTTTTATTGGAGTTTAACAAAGAATTCTTCCTAAAAGAGACAGAAAGAAACAACACAAAGCACATACAAATTACAAGTGAGTCTAAAAATGGTCATGAGATTGTCTTAGTTATAACATTTAGAAATATATAAAGAAACATACAGAAATATTAGGGAGGTGGGTTGCAACCTTTGGCTTTTATAACTCATTTTTTCAAAATTGTACTATCATGGAAGGCTGTAAACTTAAATATGAGATATTCTTCGTAGTTGTGTGTTCTTGGAGCTGAAGCTTTAAGAGAAAGCAACACAGGTATCTCAAAACTCATAAAGTCAGACACACTGGAAAACTTAATGAGATATGGAATAGTGAAAAAAAAGGTCAAGATGCAACGGCAGTATTTTTTAACTTACATTTGAGTGTTTCTCCAGCATAAGGGATGTGTAGCTTAAACCGATCACAGCTGGGTCCAGGGGTCAGGGACGTACAGCTAAAAATGAAGACAAGAGAAGAATGTCCTAAGCAGTTACAGATGGCAGCAAACACTAACATTATTCTACAGGATACAAATGACTGATAGTAAACATGTTGTGACTATTAAAAATACTCATCCTTATGAATCTGGGAAAGAAGAAAAGGTGGGAAAGACGCAGGAGGTCTATCCTCTTTTGATCAACAGTTCCAACAATAGCATAAGAAATTTAAGGATCTGTGCCAACTGTCTCCCATTTTATAATGAAAACATACATGCAAAATACTCTGGTTTGAGTGTGTTATTAGAATGGTATCAACTAGTCAAAGTCATCAAGTCCTCTACTTTGTATACAATTTTGCAGGTCACAACTCTCTATGTCACTGTAACACGGTTACATGCTCCCTATCCCTGCCATCCATATAACTGGGATGAATCTTAATACACCAACATTTACTCATTTTTTACCTACTATAACATTAAAATTTTCCCTTGTGGAAAGTCTCACAGTAGCCTTCAGGCGAGCAAGTTTCATAATCAGGTATCTGAGGCTACGTCACAATTGAGGATGTATGTTCATGATCTGTGACTCTCCAGTTTATCTGAAGCACTGAAGCAGCAGTTGGGCTTCACGGTGATAAGAAAGCATTTTATGAATAGAAAAGTCACTAGCAAACTGTTTAGTGTCTAGGCCAGAGATGACCAACTTTTTCATACCTTTTAAATCATGTACCAAAATATTTGCATACAAAAAAAACCCAAACAAAACCAAAATCTCAGCTGCAAATGGAGAAGCAGGGACACAAATTGTTTCACTGTCAGGAACTGTCCCTGAAGCTTTCACCATTGTGGGCTGCTGTGCATATGACAGGTCCCAGGAGTAAAAATACTGAAAGTCCTTAGAAGTTCATTGCTTTATGTTTCTAGGGATCCTGATAACTCTGAAATCTTCTTGCCAGCCCAATATAATTGAGAATTTTTTAGCCCCAGCACAATTGTTGCAAGCCACTTAAAGCTCAAAGCTATACTGGCCAACTCTAGAAAAAACAGTGAGTGATAATAAGGTACACAAAGGTAAAATAACTTGCCTAAACTTATATATCAGATCACTGTTAGAGTTCTTAATACACACCACTGAAAATATAATGAACAAAACCCACATGTACTGGGCCATACACACACTGTAAAGCAAAAAGATGGGTAGGCCAGAAAACAAAAAAATTCTGATCCTATCTTCGGATCCTCCCTTATCAGAAACAATAAAGTAACTGCTGCAGCTCTGTCTTACTACACAAAAGGCATTGGGGCAAATGGAGCTATCCTAATTCTCACTCACATACTCAAAATGGTTCAGAGAGCCATTTCTCCAAGATGCTGGCTCTACAGTCGCTTTTCCTCTTTCCTCTTGCAAGTTCAGGAAACCACATGCAATAACTTCAGATTGTTTTTACTCAGTGAGTTTCATTCACTATTTACTCAAATTTGTGCCCATGTGTAGCTTCACCAAAAAGAAGCAACCACAGAACTACAAAACAATTAACTTAAATGAAGTTTCCATAAAATTAGTAAAAAAACATAAGCAAACGACTTATGTGCACCTAGAATCTAAGACAGATGCAATTAAGAGCCAGATGCAGTCAACAGCCTACACTGATTCAACAAGAATACGCCACATTTTTTCAGAATCATTATAGAAATTATATGTGTCCTTTCAAATAAAAGGGAAGAAACACATCCTATCTTCACTTTAGAAAGGTTTTTGCAACGTCTTAGGAGAGCACCATGCAAAACAACCTACAGAAACATAATTGAGATATAACTACTATCAGATACTGCAGACTTGAATGGAAAGCAAGTTTCAAAACAGATTAGTTCACATCTTGCTTCATCCAGGAAGAATGCACTGACTTGGTTTTCTTTTGCTGGACTACTACTTCACATTTTATTGAAAGACTGATGATGGAAAAAACCCAATGTTTATGGAATGCAGCATGCCAGACAACAGAGACAGACCTGAAAAATGTTTTTATTTAATGGTTGTTTTTATTTCATGGTCTGTACTACTTATTTTTAAATTACATCTAGGTAGGGCTTAGCAAGAACAGTAAGCATCACCAGCCTCACTGGGAGTAAAATCGGTTTGAGAATATAAAAGATTGGATCCCTAGTGCAACAAAAACAAGAGAATATAATTTTTTTCCAAGCTGTGCTTTTTAGTAGGTGAGAACAGCAAAATGGGAGTGCCCATTGTGAGGGTGTTTTAATGTCTGTGAATGAATTTAACAGCTAAATAGATACTATTATCTACTTCCAAAGTATTTCTATGTCTTACAACATATGTAAGGCCAATTCCAGGAAGCATACCAAAATCCCCCAAAAAAGCACAACATAAAAAAACCTTTTTCAAGTTCTAAAATATCTCTGCAACAACAGTTAATATTTAATGAAATTTTCTTTCAAAGTATCACAGGTCACAGTCTGAGACACTTTTCTCACAATACTATCAAAATTACACTGTTGTCAGCTTTTCAACAGACACAAAAATTTCTGATCCTACAAATACCCTACAATCTTTTCTTTTAGCACAATGGGCCATTTGGAAATACTTACAGAAAGTATAATATTTTTTAACATTAAAATAAAAGCCTGATTTAATGGTAAATGTCCCTAAAAGCAACATAAAGTACTTTTCCCATATTATTATCTTGCACTAGAGATGTTTTTAATTTTACTGGTCTAGAAGTGATGGAAAGTGACAGTATTCACAGTCTTCCCCCTCCTCCCCCCCCAATTGCTCTGGCTGGGCTGCACAAGAGACTTCAATAAATGCAACAGGCTGAGCAACCAAGCAGAAATCTTACATACATCCATTTGAAAGGAGGCAGCTTCTTTTTAGTATAAACAGTAAAAGAATGAAACTCCTATGGAAAATCAAAACTTTGGTTCATGTAGCAGCCTATGTCTGCCCCTATTTCGACAGAAAGCCAGAAGTAATGGCCTGTGTAGGAACATAATCTCCTGCCTGAATTTCCTTAACAGAGAGAACATCTTATAATTATACACGACTGACCCAGAAACATGACCTCTATCTTCTCCAAAATGTAAGACTTTTGTCTTTTGGAAATGTGATCCTTTTACTTAATCTGGTCCACACAAACGTCCCACTTGAAAAGGAATTACTTGTAACAAAGTCTTTAAAGGTTATTTGTTGTCCTGTCTTCACAGGGAATTGGCAGAACAGTAATACTTGGTGTTGAAAATTAATTTCAGAAGCTGACTTCATCTCATGATATATGGATGTGTTATCTCCCTCTTTATTAATGGAAAAATATTACACTGGTTTGCATCTCTTCATCTAAATAATCGATATTTTACACAGGAAAGCCACAGAAGCAAGAATTAGTGCTCTCATGCTCAGAGCAGTAATATGTCTTAGTCTTCATAAGATGATTAATGCTATACCACAAGATCTCCCACAATGGTTTCCCTACTAAAATATCAAAGAATCATCAACTTGACAAGTTTCCGGGATGAAGGAATATTCGTGAGTGTATTGCTTAAAATCATGTTGCCCTATCCAAAGGGGCTGTGCTGAGACTTACAGCTGGAAACTGGCAGATAGAACTGCGTATGCAAGCAACCACAGCTGAATACAAACCTTTCTCTTTTGCAGTAGATTTTAGCTAAGTTCCTTGAGCAAATACAGCAGATTAAACTTCAGCTGAGATATATTATATCCCTATGGAATAAGTATTCCAAGTAGAAGACAAGTTTTTGAGTGTTTGATGCATCTTACAGTTGGGATTGTCTGCGACCTATTGGGAAAAGATTTCTTTCACAATGAATAAAACTAAACCAGTTCTTATACAAAGAAAAAGTCACTGTCAGCACCAGACACTTACTTAGAAGTGTTCAGAATTCTTTACCATTCACAAAAGGAAACAAAAAAGATTACCCAAGAAAAAAAAATCAGGAAAGTCACTCAGTTTTCCTGCTTGGAATAAAGCATCAGCCTATAAGGACAGGTATAGTAGAAAGTATTTTTTTTTGCAAAATTAATTCTATCTGATTTAGAAATGCAGTTCTACCTGAGTTTAACAGTGAGGTTTTCTCTTATATCAATGTATTTGCGATTAACTATTTTGTTGAACTGACACTTCTTCTGTTTCGTTTAAGCTAAAAAAACAAATCCACTTTGATATTTTACAGGTCTGAAGCCACGATGATAAGGAGGACTCTGATAACCTTAGATTTCAACATAGTCTTCCTATCAACTAGTCTTCTAAAACCATCACTTGAAAGCATTCCCAAGACAAGTAGTTTTAAATCATTTGGGCTCTGGTTAGATCTTATCCAAAATTATGTTCTGTGCCAACTGAAGGAGTCACAAAGAAACAAGAGCACAAGTGTTTACCACCTTAATCCTTAAAGTCAGGAGATGAGTGGTTATTCTACCCAAAGACTTTAAAAAAACCAACCAACCAAACTCATCAACGCCCCTCTCCAAATCTAACTCTTTATATCCCAAAATTCCAGTAAGAAGCTTGTTTTTTATACAACTCCTAAAATCCACTGTTTACAACCATATAAAAGTATAGCAAATATCCAGAAACACCATCAGAGGTAGTTCTATTGAAAAACGAGCTACCTCCTTTTTATTTCTTCTTATTTTAATCTGTGATATAGGTGTAAGCCCCAATAGTCATGTCAGATTTATCTGATGACTATCAAATTCCCTGAGTATAAAGTATGCAATGTGTTTAGTCATTCTTCCTTCATAGATCATAGGGAAGCTTTACTGCCTTTACTATCTGAAGACAACTCATCAGTGAACTTTACTGTACAACAGCAAAGTAAAATTAGACTAAGAAATTTAGCCTCTATAATTTCAGGAACTTAATACTGAGACTGTCTAACCAGAATAGTCAGAGATGCAAAAGCTTCTTTAATCTCATGGTGCTTAGGCTGCTATGCTTGCCATTCTGGAGGATCAGTACTTTTTTGGATAACAGACAACT